CTACTATCCATCATCATTATACACGTTAGCTAGATCGTAGTTGGAGATTACTACTATTGAGGATCGGCATAATGGCTGTCCGGAGTATAGTTGCTTAATTGAAGTGACCTGAATAATGATGTTTCCCATCAAATCAATGTTACCATCTCGGTTATTGGCCACAGGATACTGCCAAACGTTGCCGAAAAAGGCGGAGTGCACGATTTAGACGAGATTGGAAGGCTCAAAAAGCAGTTCCATCTTGAAATGGGATGCCATACGTGTCTGGCTATCAGGAGTGCGTTGAAGCAGTGTAAACCGGCTCAGAACCAACAAGTGTGGTTCCCAACAACAACAAGAACAACAAGCCCCCCAGTTTTATTCCTTCGACTTTACACTGCATGTGAACTGCGAGTATGGGTAAGTGTGGTAAACTGCACGCCACCAATGGCCTCACTGTGGATGGTAGCGTGCTATCGCTGTGCACAATCACATGGACAATCAGAGGTGGAAAAAGACGCCGCCGCTAACCATAAAGTGGGCGAATCCGGGTGGTGCTGAGAGGTGGAATCACAAGCACATTTCATAGTAACGCTCACACATTCAAACATTTGCTACATATTTGACTTAGAATGAAGAATGAGAGGCAAAAAAGATGGGAGAAGATGACAGCACGTGCTTGCAGCTGGTATTATGACCTTCGAAACACGAGGATGATTGACCGTTGTGTGTGCTTAGATTGTGAAAGTTCATACCGAACGGACTGCGATATTGGTTGAAGCGAATGAGTAGAACAGAGTTTGCCTGGTCAGTTTGATTCAATCAATCCATTGTGATCACGGCGCTGAGGCGTGGCGAATCAATTTACTTTCACGCACATGGCCATGATGATTCGCATTCACTTAATTCAATCAAACAACTATGGCCGGGGTACTGAAGCGTGTGTGGTGGGTCCAGCGGTGACGACTCGCGTCACGGCAGGATAAAAGTAAACTATTGAGAAAAACGAATTGAGAAAGTAAATTCAACGGTCATGGAACATTAACATATGGATGTAGGAAACTGGATGGAGTGGCGTCACCGACTTCATGACGGCGCAATGTGGCGTAACTTGGGGGGTCCCATCCGAGCAGACGTCATGCAACGACCTCTGTCTCATCATGTTTTGGCCGTCAAGATTTTTCCCGCCTATGCGTAGCGACAGGATATAATGTACAACGATAAAGGCGGTGAGCGGGCATCATCATTATCATTATACACGTTAGCTATAGGTGGAAAACACCTCAGCTACTGTGCCGCAATAGAAAAGAAAAAAATGCGAAATAGAGGTACGCTGGCTGAGTCACAAGCAACGGATGGACATCGTTCCGGAGAGCTAACAACCGCCTACGGTGCCATAAAAAGGAGCTATATTATGCCTAATAAATGAGGTCTTGGTGGGAGGGGGATGGACAAAGAAACTCACAAAACAAACGCCATATCAGTGAGTACGTCTAACCAATAATAATAATAATAACAATAATAATAATAATAATAATAATAATGTGTCAGCGGTACGCCGCAACGGCGCTTCGCTGCCGCACGATCACCACCAGTCGCGCGCGGACTGAGTATACCGCGAGGACGCCCACTCCTACGCGGATTCGAACTGGTGACGTTATGGTTGCGAACCAAACGCGCAGACCACTCGACCACCGGTCAGGCAGTCAGGATGCACCAACCGACGCCAGCTTCGGACTGAGGGCTTTAATTTCTCTCGACCAAATCATCCTTTGGCCACCCCTCCTTTTCTACCAACCGCACCCCCGGCGCTCAAACAATGCACGTCGCGGGAGCTCGTATGCTGGCATGCGCAACACGTGTCCCAGCCATCGGAGCCTGGTGCGTGAAATAACGGTGCTGAGCGGTTCGCGTCTTCTTCCTGCGCCATAAACAAACCACCGAACATGCCCACTGCTCGCGGTATTCCCACCAGAGATGAGCCAAACTGCGAAAGAACCGGTGACCGGAAGTAACTAGCCTCTTTATGTCGGCTGATCTAATGGGCCAGGTTCCACAACCGTACAGTAGCGTCGAAAGTACGGCTGCAATGTACCCTCAACCCTTCAGAGAGAGAGAGAGAGAGAGAGAGAGTGCTGTTGCGCCGGCGCCATAGGTAACGAAAATTAGCAAAAACGCCTCATGCTTTTGCTACATGGTTTGCGACCTCGACACCAATTTCAACGATGCTGATACAACTACGTGGGTAGTTGAACTGTTGAACGACTTCAGGCTGATCCCCACCAACGGTCAGGGCAGGAGGCGGTTCCTGCTAATCTTGGAGGAAAACTTTGCACCTTGAGAGTGAAAAGTATAGTCTAAAACGATTGACAGCCAGTGCTAATCTGTCCATTGCCGCTTGGCACCTTTGTAAGCTGTCACAGATGAGAGCAATATCATCAGTATATCCCAAGTTCCCACGTTCCCGGTCGATTCGGAGAATCCTTGTCAAACGTCGCTTCAGAGAGTTACGGATGCGTTTAAACTCAGTGCTCATTGGACCTGATCGATGTCTCAGAGATCTATTCACAGTTAGGACGTCTCAAGTTGAGTGCAGAGCAGGTGTCAAAAGCATTCTTCATGGCACATTTGAGACGATCCAAGTCATCGTTCGGTTCACTCACCTCATTCATCTGACAAATTGGTGGGACTGGTTCGTCATGGAATTGTTGAACTGTAGACTGAGAGTTCAAGTCACAGGTAAGGATGTTAGAGGATAGGCGCTTCTTTGAAGTTGTAAGATTGCGCGATAAGCCTGTGCGCACTAGAGCACGGTCGGAATCCATGCACGTGCCTCAAATTGACCGACAGCCTCGGACTGATGTGCACCATCTGTAGCTGATAGCAATATGGTCCAGTTAAGTGCACATCATTGATGAATTCGGTTGGCGCCAGGTGACGCGGTGGGAACGTTTGTGCTGGAAAGCAGTGCTGCCAATATGAAGATTGTGGTGGGCGCCCGGTTGCAGAAATCGATTACCATTATCCCTTTGGCGTGCATCGACTGCCAAGCGCTCTCCCAGGTGTTGTTCAGAGTCTAAAAGAAGATCCACTTGAGCATTCAATTCACCAGCAAAATTCACAATGTTCATTTACTTCACCACGCGAAGAAGAGATGAGAGTTGTCAACAGAAATCATCTTTGGTACCCTCCGAACTGCAGTCAGTAGGAGCATAAATTGAGGCGATGAAAAAACACTTTGTCTTCATACGGTGCTTAGTAACTCCAGTAGAGGTTTGAAGTCGAACCGCACACATGTGGCTGTTCACCGGTATCCAATCGATCAGAATGCTTTCAGCATGTCTGCTGAGGGTGATATCAACACCTTTAATACCTTGAGCCGTTGACTCGCTATCACCAGAGACGCGAAGAGAGTAGTCATTGTCATCAGTTTCAGAACCAGGGAGTGGAAAATTCATCATGACGCTGTTATCTTGTATGTGTGTTTCAGAGGCACAGCACATATCAATACCAAGAGAGTGAGTTAGTGCTGCTTTGATGCGATCCGACCTAGAGTGCTGAAGTTAAAGGAACCAATGTACATCAGTCATTTAGAATGATGCTTTCCTGCCGTCCAACCACGGTGACCTACGGTACAAGGAATAATAACAGGGAAAGAGGAAGGATCTAGTGTAAAACAATGCCCCAAGCAAACATTCAGGGTCAAGTTGCATACACATTGTGTTGACAACATACGGTCACAAACAGCTGGCTATCGTGCAAAGATAAGGTTGCATCAGTGAGACAACTTTCTTGCGGCTTTCACTGTCTCACGTTATAATCAGCCATTAGGCCGCAGATAACAACACCAAAGACCCTTTAAACAATCCGACTCCGAGACGGCAGTAGATAAGCCATTGATGTCGGCCACGAACCATGTGCTGTAACGTCTCGCGCCAAGAACAAGGCGGGTCACGTGGACGACAACCTAAAAGGCGAGAGGGACCAACAGCCCCCAGTGTGAACGTTAGTGATCATTTCCCGCTGCCAAGTCAAGTTTTGCACACCTAGGGCTTTGCGTCACCCTACATCTCTTAAACAAAACAAGGCTCTACTTGGTAAGCGGTGACCAGGCATGTGTAGTACGTAGTCTAAGCTGGACTGCGGTTCAGTATGAAGTGAGCCTCGATCAATTCCAAACCTCAGATCCGATCGCAGTGGTCTAGCTGACTGAGAGCGATAAAACCTAACTAGACGTTGTGAAGAGCGTTGCAAGCGGAGCTCGGTGAGATGTGATGAAGCGGTCCACCGGAAATCTCCGGGTTTGGCCGTCTGCATCTGAAAAGGGTAAACAAACAAGGGACCAGTGGCGTAAGTAAGTGACACACACTGAAGCATTTGGAGGCACTGATAAGCCTATGTGACCAACGTGCATTGAAGCAATTGAGATAGAGGCTGCGTTTGATCACCGATATCTGTATAGTGTTGCACTTGTGTGGTGGGAGTGCCGAAGGAGTATCACGAAGATTTGCAAGTTGGTTTTTGGCGAAGTGCCCTACGGTGCCTCACCGGGTTGTCTGTCATGTCCATCGCAAGCCTACTAGCCGACTGCCTCTTTTGTTAATGTTGCAGCTAGTTGGGTGGAACGTCCGGACGGCCGATCGAGGGCGCTGCCAAAGCATGAAGAACTGCAGAAAAGCTGGATGAATTGATGTAGGTTGTTTTCGCGGATCCTCGGGATTCCTCCCAATGGTGGGCATAAAACCTATCGGATATGATACAACCAAGAAGCGAGTAACGCTTTCGAATAGTCCTATCGCTTCTGACGGCTACTTCAGCTGATGACTCCAAGTGCAACTTATTTCTAATGCTCTGACATTTTCTATCCTTCGCCCGTTCCCGGGATCTCTTGGAACACATCTGGTGAGGACAGCGACTGCACCTAGATTCCATCGATTTTCTTACAATAAGCACGGTTGATCAACCCAAACTGAACTGATAAGCAACACAAAAGACATAGGAAACGTGACTGACCGTCTCACCTGGACCCGGGTGATAAGAAAAGTAATCAAACGGATGGCTTCTGCTTTTCGGACTGCGAGTAGCCTGCGGCGTTCGTCAAGCATGATTTTCTGTTTGATCAAGGATTCCCTCTCACGCCTGCAGCGCTCGATAGCCTGAGGTATTGAAGAGAAGATAGCATGAGAATGTAAACGTTCTGGTGGCAACACGGTGGATAATTTCCAATCACATAAAAAACTGGGGATGGTAAGGTGTGCCAAGTCAAATTTTGTGAAATTACGAAGGGCAAATAAGAAATATCTGTAAGAAATTAAGGAAGATCAAAAAACGTCAGCATACAAGAAACAAAAGATAACTGGATATCGTGAGGAACATCGGAAAAACCCATCCTCGTGTCGAAAGCATTACTGATCAATCGCGCGACAACTAGTGAACTTGTAGTGCTGAAACTAAATCACTTGCTAATTCATCACCTCCGTAAGTTAAAGAAGTTACCACCTAATGCTTATCAACACTTCTTAATTTATCCCTATCTTTCTGCGTCCTGGTTTTGAAAAGATCACTGGTAAATCGTGCAAACACTGGCGCATCAGTGGATTTAAAGTTGAACTCACACATTGTCGCCACTTTGAAAATGCATGCACGAATTTAATCCCTCCGATTCACTTCATCAAAAATGTCCATCTTGGCCCTTACTATCTTAGTACTTTTCTGTTTGAATATCCATCATAACAGCTTAGTTTCTTGAACAACCTGAACACATCTACTTGTGGCGCTATTTGTGACGTCATAATCCTCATGTTTGCATGCTGAGTTTTTTTATCTCATGTGATCGGGTTGCTATATTTTGTTATTACTTACTTTGTTATCGCATTTTAATGTCAATCTTAATAATGTATTATTTACTTTACATGTAGCTCAAACGAAAGGTGGTTAATTTCGTTAGTTTTATTCGCGTTTGCATTATTCGCGTTTTTGATCTTTTTGTCATTGTGAATGCATCGCGGATAGGCTGTTAACACATTTATTTCATATGCTACTTTAGTGAAGAGCTAAGTCAGCTCATCTGTATACTTCATTCGATTTATGTTATTTTAAGTAATTGGCTGCTGCTTGACATCCCCGTTGTGGCTGCGCTTGATGTGCATGTTGACAAGGTGCCTACCTGTCTATTACCCACTATCTCTCCATACTGGCTCCAGAAGACAGTTGGTCGTTGTTGGAGGGGACGGGGTGCACGGTCCTTGTGGTCGTGCTAGGCTCGAAGAGTGGTTCCATGCACTCAGTGTGGAGCGGACTACGGTCCAGCCACCGCCTTGTGTGCGGTTGACTCCCCAAATACAGTGTGCTTGTGTTTGCTTGTGAAGAAGTGTGGGCCGGCTCCGTTGATGAAACGTGGGCTCCCATCCACATGCCTCCCTGTATTCTTCCTTCGGGTTTACACTGGATGTGGGATGTGTAGATGGAGCTGTAGGTGGAGCAGCGCAAGCCACCCATGATCCCACTGTAGGTGATGTCCTGTGGCTGTCCTAAGGAGTCCGCAGTGACAGGCCGATTCGGAACGAACTGCCGGCCAACCATAGTAAAGCCTCTGAAGTTGACCAAGGGGTCTGAGTTGCAACCAGGTCACGGTTCCGAGCCTAAATAGAGAGCCGGGTGACCGACTGGTGGTGGTCACTCGGCAGTGAAGTGTTGTTACGACGCACCAGCGTACTGATGGTCTTTCTTTTTGAAGAAAACCGCCCTATATCGTCAATCCGTAAGTCAAATGTTTTTCTTGCGACTATTCAATGTTTCACTTGCATATATGGATAACATTGTTGGCGTACATTTTGCTGATCCTACCTTGGAACATTAAGTAAATTTTTGTCAACGCAGTGAAATTCTTCATCTTCCTATAACTCCCTGTCTCTTGTCTATTGATATATTGATTTTATATCATCAATCTAGTTAAAGCATTTTTATTAGTGACGTAGCATTTTACATTTAGTGGCAAAATAAAAATGTGGAGTTTGTGACATACAGTCGAACCCGCTCTGTTGCCCACTATCGGAATAGTTCAAAAGTGGGCAATAAGGCGGGTTCGACCGTATAACCAGCAGACGAATGAGTGTAGGAGAACGGGCCTGATAACATCTAAGCACTTGCGGTATTCGCAATACAAACTTATCGATATAACGTGAACTACTTTGTTCTCTTGTCATGAGTTTTTCGGCTAGGTAAATTAGCTCTAACTCGCATTCTTGCATTATCACATCCTAGGTTTTTACTCAAAATGATGACCCATTGATAGCCCGTAAAAATATGGGCAAATCGATAGGTTGGATAAATGAGATCTATCTGGTTTTCTCCCTGCCTATACTGTTATATTTGTAGTGTTACTCAAATTGATGACCCGTTAGTGACACATTGAAACATGGGCATACTGATGAGTTGGATATATGGGATTTATCTTTGATTTTTTTCTTCATCTAAACTGCTTTTTACTGTGCTCTTAGCTTGAAAACCCACTGAGGCCATGTAAAAAAAGCATGCGCACATTGGTAAGTTTGGTAAGCAAGCTTTTTCCTTAGCCTTCATGCAGTGCTACATTCCCCTTACACAGCTACATGAAAGGCATGAGTGCCTGCAAGATGTGGATCTGCTGAAAGGATGAGCTATTGTTGCTATGCCACTAACCCACCTAATTTGCCCTGTGTTAGCATATTTTACTACCTGTGTCAGGCACGTCATTCGTTCTAATTGATTTAAATGATTCATGATGGAGACAGTTCTCAGTTTAATTTTCTACCGTTAAAGTGCTACATTGTCTGCGCACACACTATCACTATTTTTTAAGTTATTGCTATATACCCAAGTTAGGGATATTTGTTATCACATTTTTCCATGTGCATATTGTCACTTACCTCCCTAATTATTGTTATTTCGCTTTCTTTTTACAACACTCCGTCTAAACGTATCTGAACGATTCGCCACCGTGGTCCATTCCAAAGACTGGTGGGACGTAATTAATGGTGCAATAAACAATGGAAAAGGAATTACATTTGTTTTTATGCAGCAGTCCTGTAAATTCGCTTTGCATTGCCTTGGTATCTTAGGATCGGATCAGTTTTGCTGGGCCGTGTCTTGCCTAGTTGAGAATATACCAATCAATAATAAATGCCCGCTGTCACCTTTCCTCTTCAACTTCGCTATTGATGAAGTCATGGAAACAGCGTTCGCTGGACACGACCTAGAAGGTGTGGAGCTACTTCCTGGTGAGCGACTTCTTGACTTGGAGTATGCGGACGATATTGCCCTAATCTGTGACAGCTCCCAAACATGCCAAACAGCACTGGACCGATTAGCACTGGCTGCCAATCCTTTTGGGCTATGCTTTGCTCCATCGAAATGCAAAGTACTTCTCCAAGATTGGCAGGGACCCAACCCTGCGCTAACGCTTGGTGGTGATCTGCTAGAAGTCGTTCAGCAATTCAAGTACCTGGACAGCTATATTAGCACCCGTGGGATTGAAGATGAGGTTACGAACCGTATAGCAAAAGCTCGAGGTGCTTTTGCCAATCTCCGCCACCTGTGGCGTAAACGCGACATTACTCTCACCCTCAAGCGCAGAGTTTACAACGCAGCCGTCCGTTCAACTCTCCTATATGGCTGTGAAACCTGGCCCATCAGGTCGACAGACATGAAGAGGCTCGTCACGTTCGATCATCGCTGCCTTCGCAGCTTAGCTCATTTCTGGTGGGAACACCGCGTGAGCAATGAGCGTGTTCGACGTCGCGTATTTGGTGCAGGAAGAGCGAGTGAACCGCTCAGCACCATTATATCACGCACCAGGCTCCGATGGCTGGGCCACGTGTTGCGCATGCCAGCACACCGACTCCCGCGACGTGCATTGTTTGCGCGTTGTGGGTGCGGTTGGAAGAGGAGGAGGGGAGGCCAAGTGATGACTTGGTCGAGAGAAATGAAAACCCTCACTTCGAAGTTGGCGTCGGTTGGTGCATCCCGACTGCCTGGCTGAGGTCCTAAGGACGGTGAACACGTTTGGTTGGACACACTTGCTGATATGGCTAGGAGCCGGCCCCAATGGCGTTTGTGTTGTGATTTTCTTTGTCCATCCCCCTCCTGTTTAGCATCCCCTCCAATTACGATCTCACTTGTTAGGCATAATATGACTCTTTTACGGCAGCCAGCTGTTAGCTCTCCGGAACGATGTCCATCCGTTACTGGGGACTCAGCGGGCTTGCCACTGTTTGTTTTTTCTTTTCTTGTCTTTTGTATTGCGGCACAATAGCTGAGGTATTTTCCACCTCCAGCTAACGTGTAATGATGATGATGATGATGACCAATTAATAAAAGGCAAGCGAGAAATACCATGCGTGCTCAAGAAGTAATCCGGAAGATCGTACCCGGTGCTTCTTGCGTTCTGCTTTGGCGGCGCGCTTAGCCTCTTGTTCGGCTTCCAGAGCCAGCGCTTCGGCTCGTCGTCGTTCCTCGGTTTTTCTACGTGCGTCCTCCAACAATCGCCGTCGCTCGGCTTCCGCTTCCGCAGCTGCTCTCTCCTCTTCGCGTCGACGTTTGGCAGCCTGCACCAACCGCTCCCGCTCCACTCGACGTGCATCGATGGATGATCTCGACAGGTGCTTAGACCGGTCAAAGTCGATCTGAAAAGGACCGAGGACACAAAAGCAAGGTCAAGTGAGCGTTACTGGACGGTTGGTCCGAAAAGGTGAATGGTCACATTCAGCAGAAATGAACCAGGTAAAAGTATGATTAACGCTCGAAGCACAAGAGGCGGTCAAAAGTGTATTGCAGAACGTACACACAAATGAAATGCCATTGGTAAAGTGTCTATAAACCATCGAGGGCTTGAGTATGCAGGACGGTCAGTATCATTAGTGAGTACACATGATAGCGCCCTAGTCGCCTTGCCATAGAAGAGTTTGCTTCGTTCAGAAAATATAAGCAGGAGACACTGACGAACGCAAAGGTTACCACAACGCTTTTTGAGAAGATTCGTCGCAGTTAGGCATTAGCTAGGCAACCACCACATATTCTTTCATGGATGTGTTGATGAGACTAGCTGCGACGAATCTCCTAAAAGATAACAAATCCCCATACCAATCGGTCACAACGCATCAGACGTAAGCGTGTGATATCGGATGAACAGAATGTCGTCGTCTTTGTAGCAATCCATTGGGAGCTAATGATGAGAAAGTTCACGAGAAGAGAGTAGCCTGCCGATGTGACCAACGAAGGTGCAAGCTCACTTGCTGACTGAAAACGCAGCAAATGGGTGACATCTGAGTAATTCAATATCTTGGAAGGAACTTGTAACCGACTGGGATTTCATAATTTCCAAACTTTTAGAATACAAATCGGTTCTCTATAGGCTTGTATTGTCTCACAATACAAGCCCCTATAGAAAGCCGATTTGTATTCTAAAACTTTGGAAATTATAATACCTGAGTAACTTTTAAATCGGACCACGCAAGGCGGTCGGGATAATCTACGCTTTTCTGCACCGTAGCATTGAAACAAGATGATGAATGTCCATTGTTGCGGTATAATATGTGAATATATCTAGTACAGGGATAAGTTAGTTATCTAAAGCGACCTAGGAAATGAAAAAAATGTATGACTGATTGGAGGATCATGTTGAAGTACTCGCTGTGTGACCAGATTGCGATGTACAATCTCAATGTAGACCGTGATTCCCATTGAAGTGAACCTTTGTCAATCCGATCAATGGGACCGGGACCAAAGCAGATGGATATTGGATGTTACCTGCTCGAAAACACTGCACACCATGACAATTTTCGATCTCACCAGAGAGAGAGATAGCAGGAGGCATCGGGCCAGGAGCCATTGGCATGTTAGTTGAAACCGTTACCCGTTTAGCCACCGAGTCACGCTTATCACAACGGTTAGTGACTGGTTGGAGGGCCATTTTGAAGTATACGTTGTGTGGATGAATCACGACGCGCAATCTCAATGTAGACCTCGATCCGCATTGAAGCGAATCTTGGTTACTGGGATCACTGGGATGGTAACTGATGAAGCAGTTGGATGTTGGGTTTGCGCGTCGTAGTCAAATCAAGCAAGTGCTTCAAAGTGATCCTCCAGTCAGTTATTAACCGTAGTGACAAGCGTTACCAGCCGCGACTCGGTGGATTAGGAATAGAGGTTCCGGCTGACACTCTGAACGAATTGGGTTTGAGTGCCTTCTATTTCTGCCTGATGAAATAAGTTGTCCGACGATGCGATCTGTTCCTTCGAAGGGACAGATCGAAAAGTATCACAAACGTTTCATGCTATCGCATGCTGAATGTGAAGGAATTTGAGTGAAATTCCATGTGTGATACAAAGTAGCCCGGATTCTACGCTGGCGTTTCAGTCTGTAGGTGTTATTCCATAAACACATCATAAACGCGATTGAATCGAACGGATCGAGCATGCCGGGCTCCAATTTGGAAACACAAATGCATGCGCCAGCCAAAGAAGCAACACAAACCGGTAGAGATGAGCTAACAATGGTGGGCGTTAACTTAATCCTCAATATCCCAGGAACAACAACAACGAAAATAATAATAATAATAATAATAATAATAATGCTTAGGCGTTTCCGTCCCTCTCCCTCCCTTGAAAAAGAGGAAAGATTGGAGCTCCACGCACAGACATGTTCTAATGATACCAACAGGTGGAGTCGATCGTCCTCAAACTAACTGGCAATCTCACAGGCAACCAGTTGACAGTGTGGCGCCTATAACGTGCTCAAGGTCAAATATCGTCGAATAAACTGTTTCGAACTGCAAGGCGGAGGGGATATACTATTTAGAGTCACATGACGACAACGGAACACTGCGTTCTCGTAGTTATTGCCATCCACCGTTCGGGTATACTGGAGGAATATTTTTAATTACAAAGCACTCAGGAAGTATAAAACTGAGGTAGCACTCCTTAACAGAACAAGGCTACCGGAAAATTAAAACGATGAATAAGTACGGAAACGTCATAATTTCCATGGTTTGAACCGTTGCCACGACAATGAGGACTAACAAGGGTTTGGGGAGATAGGAAGTCTTGAATGAGGATGGAAACGAAAAGAAGAGAGGATCCGAATCGAAGCGCCCATACATTGCGAGTTTTGCAGATTCACAAAAAAAACAGAAAGCATACAGATATAAGGTAGTAATCAGGAAGATGGGTTCCTTGCGGATGTACGAATCTGCCCCATAATCAGCTCGGCCTCGAAGATAACTCAGTAAGAGGTGTAATGTAAACGGGCAGTCCATCTAGAAGATGATAAGGAACATGCCACCAGTTGCCTGTATATATCACGTCATGTAATGTCTCGATTGGTCGTACGCACCTCAAAATTGAAAGCAAGAGACAGTGACAGAATCTTGTTTGTTTATCGGCAAACTTTCTTCAAACTGAAGTGCTAGCGAGTGGCATCGTTATTTCAACTAGCGTATGTGACAGGTGCGTCAAGGTAAAATTCCAACATGAAGTGAAAGAAAACAAAGCCTAAATTTGGTGTCACAGCAGAGGACATTTTGCAACTAACGTGAAATAATTGAAAAGTATCGTTTTGCACGTTGAAAAAATACATATGAGTCTAACTGAAGGGTGGCTCTCTTCGTCCAAACGCTTTGCTTGTCGCACCCTGCAACCCGCTGAATGGAATTACTCCCAACTGGTCAGAAAGGCGTTAGCGATTATTTTCGGAGTCAAGAATTTTCATCATTACATCTGGGGAAGACAGTTCGATATCCACACTGACCACAAACCACTTCTTTCGCTTCTGAGTGAAGAGAAAGGAATCCAACAGATGTTTTTGCCTCGGGTGCAAAGATGGACATTGTTCTTGAGGGCCTATAACTAAAAATTTCAGTATATAAACGGACCAAATAATGCCATCGCCGATGCACTCAGTCGCCTCCCGCAACAGCATAGCCCATAGAGTTTATCAATCTGATACAACACCTGAAAAAACCAATCCGGAGTGAAGTGGTGCAGCGCTTGACGGACCGGGACCCTGTGTTGTCGATGGTGAAACGGTTCCATACTACGCCTGCGCGTTCTGTTCCGTCCATCGGATACGGACCATACTTAACACTGACAGAGTAACAGGTCTCGATGGGCAAGAGAATTGCCGGATAGATCACGGTATTAAGAAACTCATTATCGACAGCATAACAATGTTACTATTCATTAAAAAATGCATAGTAAATAGCCGAAGAACAGTGTAAGCCCTAGGCCGTGAAGAGGCGGCATGAAAAATTTAGCAAGAGTTTAAGAAACGTGAGTGAACCGCAAGAGGTTTCAATAAGGTTGCATTTTGAAGGTGTACAGAACGCATGCCAGAAAGCGGAGCCACCACTAATATACCGTTCAGAGTTGACAGGGTGCGCTCGAGATTGTTAAATAATGAAAGAACATCGTCCGTATAAACTATGTCAAGTAGTTTCTCGCCGATCAACGACCCAACACGCGGATAGCCATAACCCCCGAAAAAACGCTGCATAATGGAAGCAAAAATAAAATTGAACAGGAAGAAAGCAATGGGCCAATTTAGCGAACAATAACTTGTCAGAATGTGAAGTGTTCGAGTGCTCAGAATGGGGCGATCAATCGAGTCGAAACAAATCTTGGGGTCGAGGAATACGACTAAAGACGCTCACCATACAAACGCAGTTGGCTCAGATTGACAATTAGCACGATACAGCCGCGCCCCGATTGATAACTTACTTGTGCTTCTCCCATCCCTAGCAGAGGTATGAGGAAAATGGAACCAGTAATTCTGTCACCATGGACATCAATCTGATGACCAGCAGTTAAATGACACGAACGGTGTGATCGCAGTTCAAGGGCAAAGCGACGACGATTGATTTGCAGTGGTTCACATATACTGTTTCTTAACAGTACATGGATATTCATACAAATAAGTCAAATGTCGTGGAAAACCCCGGTCCTATTCATAAGCATCAGGAGCAAGAGAGAATCCGGGTCAACAGCGTGGAAACGGTTGAGGATCTGGATCTCACTTTAGGATGTAGCCTCCAAACGAAACGATTATGGTTAAGCCTAAACCACCGGAGCAAAGAGTGGGTGAATGACATTAGAGTAAATGGGCTACTGCTGTTGTTGAAGACGTTCTGCTAACGAGTGATTCCCTGGGATAAGCAAGGTGGATTAGTTAGGAATATGCAAGGGGTCAGTCTCCATTTCTGTCCGGCCATTTTTCGTATGCAACTCGCCGGTCCTGTTAACTCGCAGGTGCCGATAAACCATCTGGTCGCATTATACTAGATGCCAACAGAAATTATACTGGATCCAAACAGATCATTGATGTACAGCCCCCAGCAACGTACCAATAACGCCGCAAGTAGAAGTTATAGTGACACGTAAGGCTACTGAAGACTTATTCCACAGGTCATTCCAGTAGGTATGCCCATCCGTGGAATTCAACAGTCGCTCAGACAGCCGCCAACAGTACACCAGCACACTACGCTGACGCTTCGGTGCCCCACGGTCATCAACAGTTGCGCGTGGGCTTAGTATACTGCGAGGTCGCCCCCCTATGCGGATTCGAACCAGTGACCTTCGAATTACGAGGGATGTGCGTAATCGGTTCGGCCACTGAATGCACAGCTGATAATCACAAAGAGGGGACCGTTTTATGCGTTTCCATATTAAACGGCAGCGGTGACAAACAGAGGACCAGGTCATCAGCAAAAGCAAGACGTGCGTTTCAAAAATGCTCGGCAATCTAGGATGAAATCATGCCACCTGAGACGTGGTGATTTGGTCATCCCTGGTTCATCGCTAGCTAGCTGCCGACGAACGTTAAGACGAACACCGGGGGCCGTCGCGGTGCCCTAAATTGAAATCGAACATCCTAGCTAACAGATACTGTGAGAAGCCAAAACGATTTAGTTGCGACTTGGACGATATCTGACCTGGTAGCGTTGCGCATTAGCGTACCAAGTTCGTGGTAAAAGTGTTCCCGAAGGTATCAGGGTTGCTGTATTTCGGTGTGTATGCGGCAACCACGAATAGACCGTGCTTAGCGACGTTCCATCCGCTAACCCCAGTTAACTAGTCCAACCAGGTGCGCACAAAGGGCAATCCATCATCATCATCATTATACACGTCAGCTAGATGTGGGGAACACCTCAGTTACTGTGCCGCAAAAGGGCAGTCCAGGTGAATCCAATCAAACGAGGAGGGCACCCAATCCCGCATGGTATGAAGCTGACGCGGCGGCTGCGGCGATTCCAGATGCACGTGACCAACAGGAACAAGTTAAGAGTAACTCATTCGATAATCACATGAATCGTGTAATCTAGTTTCGGAGATGCAGCACAAGTAAAACTCTGTCAACGTGAACGGTATAACCGAATACTACTAAACTAACATCGTTGCAGGGCGTTGGATACTGAAATCAAGCACCTAGTGAAACCATCATCCATGCTTCAGACAAATTAAACGAAGACCAATGAACGTGCCCACAGCTAAGATATCTGCGGTCAGGTAGGTAGGTGACCTCAATGCCTACCCCAGAGAATGTGATTCTAGTCAAGGTTCGGCCCGTCATCATCTTTCAATAATGACAGATGCTGTTCTGACATCCACTGAGAGAGCTAGGTAAGCAACTTTGAAGATGGAGTTATCGTGGTGCCTGAAAAGTTATGTATTCGAGAGCATTGTGAGTAGGTATTAATAAGCAATTGTCAAAATCGGCGGACAATTAGTTAATCTTGATTATGCGGACGATGTTTGTTGTATTGCTACTTAATGATCTTGGGGTGGCCCAGTGAACCACAAACAACCTCTCCAGAGTGGTCACATCGCTTGGAATATACATAAATTTCGCGCTTTTAAAGTGCAAAATGTTGTTGCAGAACCCCCAGACATTTGCTGATCCCTTGACCCTTGATACCAAGAAACTTAGTGGCTAATTCACCTGTCTTGGCAGCTGGATCAGCAACGACGGGTGTGTGGCTGCTGACGTTAGTTCACGTAATGCGAAAGCTAAAATTGCATTCCTGAACTTGCGACATCTAGGTCGTCAGAAAGGCGGTTTCCATCGATCTGAAAGGTCGTGTGTACAACGCCACAGTGTGGGCTGTCCAACTCAATGGAAGAGAAGCTTTGCCCCTTCGGTCTGAGGCGCCTTCAAGTTTTTGATCATCGCTGACTATGGAGCATTGCTGGTATCGGATGTCAGTAACGTACCTGGAACGGTGATGCGCGTAGACGAGTGCCAGATGGTGATAACCAGGTTAGTACACTGGAGGAACAGATCAAGTTGAATAAGTTGCATGGGCTTTGGCACATATTACGTATGCCCAGTCACCGCTTACCGAGGAGCGACGTTTGTATGCCAAACATACGGTGGCGCAAGGCTCGAGGTGTGCAGAATTTGACTTGGCAGCGGGAAATGAGGTCGCAGAGGTATAAATTGGGTAGTGTTAGTCCGTTACGCCATCCCCGGGGAGTCCACGTGCCCCATCTTGGCTCGCAGCCTGCATCAGTGGCGTGTGTGTTGTCGCGTCCTAGTCGGACTGCTTGTTTAAAGTGCGCTTGGTACTGAGTTATCTGCAGAGTAATGGCTGCATATTATGCGGAGCGGTAAAAGCCGCGAAGTATCTGTCTCGCCGACACCGCATTATCTTCGAACGATAGACAATTTTTGTGATCTTATGTTGTTGACGAAGTGTAGGTGTCTTTAAACTGAATGTTAGCTTAAGGCGCTTAGGTCTTAGGGTAGTAGGTCACCCTTCTCTCCCGCTTACTATTCTTCATTCCTTAGGCCATGGTGGCTGTACGGCAGCGAACCATAAGCACAAATGGCTGATGTACTGCTGTTGGTGATTATGACGATGGGATATCCAGGTCAAACCTTATAATAGTAAAATGTCACAGCACGCCACGCGATACCTAAATTTCCAGACAATTGTGAGCAATCCATGCTTTCGAAAGCGTGTTCTTCTATAGCTAGGCACAAAATAAGCAAGAAACTAGTGCTAAAGAATTGAGCAGTTGGGATAGGTTCTTACCTTGATTTCAGCAGTGAAGTATAACCTTCCGCCGGTGGTATCTTCAGATAACGTCTGTTTTGGCATGTGGCGTGGGGCGTACACTAATTTTTGGCCACGAAAGCCTTCCATTGCCTTTGTAAATGAGGTATAATCTTTAAACTGAACGTAGGCAGTAAAGGTGAGCGGAGAGAGAGTAGGCTTTAAATTTTTTTCAGAAGAGAGAGAGCTCGGTGTGGCGCTGACAAAATTATCTGAAATCTTCGAAACGGAGTTCACATCGGCATTAATCACAGATATGGTGTCCGGTCCAATTTTCCCAAAACCACTTGTCTCCTCTTTGTCAACAGCTTGGTGGATCACATCTGGTGAAAGCCGTTTGCGTGAACCCCGAGTGTTGTAGATTTCATCCAGATATTCGTCGAGATAACTTGGATTTTGCACAGGATCAAGCATTGGTATGTCAACATACCGAACGGGTCCGTATGTCTATCGTGAATGAAACAGAAAACGAAGAGGTCCAGATAATTTCGACAGACGGGTAAATATAAGCTGTTCAAGTAAGTGATTAGTTTAGGGACACCATAGGAGAGTAAGTGACGGACTCAGTCTGCAAATGTGACAAAGCGAGAGAGCTCTCAGATCGCAAAGCAGCACATTAACAAAGGTGCAGTAAGAGTTGGAATCCAATTCCAGATTTGTCTACCATGGCGATGGCGAACAAGCACAAGACTGCGCCGACAAATGAGGCATGGCTACAGTGATAAACTACCAGTCAGAACATACCCGATAAGCCTTATGAGTGGGAAATAAGATTACGTTGGAGCAGGTTTACAGAATAAATAAATAGTATTACCTACAGGTAAGCAAATCTACGTGGAAGGAAACTGGAGTAACGAAGCTGCTAGGAGACGACTGTATGCAACGTATGTTGCGAAAGAATGCGAGCATTCTGCAAGTGCTTGATGAGAAATTGGCATTCAAGCGCAGATGAAACATCAGGGGAAACGCATATGCCACACACACACACACGGAGAGAGAAAAGTTGTTCTGCTACGGAGCTACTAAGATGCCGCTATAAACCCGAAAATGGTACGCTGCGCTCCCTCCAGTCAGTAGTAAGGATTCCCAAAAGTCTTTAGTCGAGGTGGTAGCACTGGTCAGCATTTGGGCCGTTCACAATCATACCCGATAAATAACTCGGAAATAAACGTTGAGAATGGAACACGTTCAAACATAAACGTACAGTTTAAATGCAGTGAAGAATGATCGAATGTCATGTCAGTAGGAAAAAGAGATATTCACGGTGGCTAGGCAGTGAAGCATATATTTAGGAGAAATCGATTGTCATGTATTGTGGAGAATATGCATGAGGTTACCTCGAATACTGATTTAACGATAGAAGCAGACGGGCGATCGGCTTTGTAATCTGGCAACGGTCCACGATCCTTGGGGTCAAAGCCGCACAGCTGTCCAACCTGAGCGAACCATCGCACAGGCAGACCCGAAATAACTATAGTATCCGGCCTCTCCCCAGGTTGGGTTTCGTCCATATCAGCGTCCCGAAAGAATGCTTCCCAGTCATGGCGTCTTGGACAATCGGTAGGTGCTTCATTTGCACGAACATGAAGATTTTGAGGAAATCCACTTAATTTGATATACTGTCGGAAAAATTAAATAACTTGGGCTAGTAATCGAAGTACATGAGTGGAAAATCAGAGACAATGCAAGATTCGAAAGCCAGGCACCAGCATCGAGAATGAAATGCAGAATGGCTCAGCGTGTTGCGATGATATAGGACGAAGTTGACCAAATAGTGTGGAAACAAATTAACAAAACAGTAACAGTAGAAGCATGAGATAGCAGGATGCCGATTAGTGTCAGTCGATAAAATCGTAACAACCTAGGGTCCAAAATCAATCCCCATGGACAAAAAAAGGAGTATTAAGCATGAAATAGCTTACTTGAGCTCGGTACCTGAAAAAGAACGTGATCGTCGAAGTGGCGAGGTACATACAATGCACCTAAAATCTGTAAGAATACTATCGGCGGTACTGTTACTAAAGAAGTCCCGCGGACCAATATATAATACCGTAATCGCAACCAGAAAGAAAAGCGATCGGATACCAGCAACTACGGAATAAATGCTAACCATGCGACTAGAACGTAAAATAATACATCAATTATAGGATAGCTCTACTTGAAGCGATGTGACGTTTCAAGTGTTTAGACTTCAAGTTCGACGTCCCGGATTCGAGTTCCCTCTCCCACATGGGCGGATGCGCCTCTTAACATCTAAGCCAAGTACAGTAACTTGCAGTTGTGTTACAGTGAAGTGTCAGTATAGGATATTAAGACACTGCTGATAACTTCTGACCCAAGACACTTATCACCAGTAACAGTGCACATAAGCTATAAAGGCACATACGGCATAACGGAAGCTCACTATTTCATTGAGTAGGCCAACGCAAAAGTGCAATGAGGCACCGTTTAAGTATGCTGAAAGTTCTAGATCTGACGCTGAGAAATGGACCACATGTGAGAATCGTCCCTTCTTAAAGTACTTTTCCTCTCTATTGAGGGATAAACAAGCGCTGGCACTTTAACACTGCATTAAGCCTGACGCTCGACTCACAAAGCCGGCCCGTGGCCTTATCACAAGCCTACCCTGTAATCTGAAAGCGCGGGCTCGGGCCTGCGTAGGGGTCGTGCGACCCTCGCATTGTCAGTAGCCCACATACGACTGGTGGTGGTCGTGCGGCAGTGAAACGCTGGCACTGCGTACTGCCTTTTTTCTGACTATGTAGGTGCGGGAGTTGTGCTGAACGCATGCGCAGAAGCAGCTCTACCCGGCCGGCTTCTTGTCACCAGTCGACTCTGCGCAATTCGACTAGACAGCTCGGCGTGATCATCCAACATTAGGATCATCAGATTCTGCATATATGTTTGGTGGCAAACCCCCACAGATATCAGCCCGAACTCGAGTATAAATGAATTCTACCATCAGCCAGCCAGATTTCTTAGTAAAAAGCATTGCACAGACATCATGATAATTGTCGGAGGCTTAAACATGTAGAACCGAAGACCTGAAGTGTAAGAACATAAACTATGGGGTCAACATGGCTGAGATACTAGTAGAATAGAGAACGCTAATCGCCTAGTTCAATTTTTCGCCAATCACGGCATGTTTCTTCCGAGTATCAGCTTTCAGTGAGCCTGATGCTAACACACTGCCTGGAGACCGCCATTATCTGGTGAACCGTGGAGGCAGATCGACAACATAAGCAGCAATTAGTGTTGGTGAGGCTGTATCGGAATACCAAGTTAAATAGGAACACGCGCCCAAGTTTGTTTAGTTTTACTCTTTTGTGTCCCTCAACGGCTTGTCGGAAACGGCTTGATGTCGCTAGGCATTCTACCCCAAATATTCTCAGCGCTGCTCAAGTAGTGTTAGCCTATAACCCTAAGATTTACGCTTAGACATTGAGACGCACTGTGCACATATCTACAACGCCATGCACATCTCTGCGACCTTGATCTGTAGTTTCATTAAAAGAGATGTTAACTATTGAATCTCTCACGATCCCTACAGTTTTTTGGAGTCCGTTGAGCGATTGCTACGGTTATTCGGCACAAATTGCGCAAAACTACTAAAGCTCAGAATGATCTTATAGAAAGATGCGAATCCTAATGGATACAATATGTCATCAAGATAGTCCAAGCGTTCATCTCGATTAACTTTCGGGAGCTTTCCTCCTGATCGGGTCCACGGGCGGAAAAAACCCGATTGTAAGCTAAGTTCATAAGAAAGCAACGGAGCGAATCTACTGTCAACGTCAATCTGTGAAGTGGACTGAGTAGTTCGAACAGCATCCTAACTGGCAAGTAGCCCCAACTAGTTCACCCTTAGGAATCCTTGGTGTTACTTGAGGTGTGGACGCTTTGCCGTCACCTGAAACTGAGATAACTTATAAACTTAGCCTTCTGAAGCACCAGAGGACACTTGGCTCAAACTCCCTCCGGCTCTTTTCAAAGATAGAAGTTCATCCATCTACACTCTCCAAGAGAGCAGGTTTACGGAAGTATTCTCATCTGACTAGAGCTTAGCGGATATCGTGCTCGTCTTCAGAAAAGGTAGATAAGCAGATTGCTGTAATCATCGAAAAATTAGTCGCAACTGCATCGCATCCAGAGTGACCACTGTCCTATATTGAAGCGGAAAGCCGATTGTGGGAACAGAAAGACTGAGCTGTATTGGCCACTAAAGAGCTGCGTCGCCAAACACTCAATCGACAAACGATCATAGTCTTCGTACAAAACCGAGCTAGGTTTTGACTCAGTTGAAGAGTTTTCTCTAAAATTGTCTATTGAGAAAGGGCATGCCTGAGAAGTACGGTAAGATTCACCGTTATGTAATTCCAGTCCCCGTACATAGCACGGTAATGCGACCATTCGGCCCCTCAAGTATCGGCAGTGGCATGAGACAGGGTTTTCCAATACCACTTATCCTATTCGACATCGCTATGGATGACATCCTGGAATGTTCTGGAAAACGCCGAGCCCAGTGGCATCGAGCTGCTTCCTGGGGAACAACTTCGGGATCGGAGCACGCTGACGGAATCACTGTAATTTGTGCTCTCTCATACTGTCTAAAAGATACTGTGTAGGTTGAAAGCATCTGTCACCAAGTTCGGAATTATGTAACTCAACAGACGTGTACAGTTTTCCTGTAGGGCTGACAAGGCTGCTCCTAATCCCACCCTTTCAGGTTGTCCTACGGAAGTGGCCGACAAGGTCGTCTACCTTGAGAGCTACTTTAGCACTGACACTTTAACGGATAAGACCTCTGTATAATTCTAAGGCTCGTGTCGCCTTTGAAAATGTCTTTCAAGTATGGCACCTACGTGGCCCTAGCCTCATCCCGGAGGACCGAGTCTACAGTGCTACCATGTGAGTGGTCCTGTTCCATGACTGCAAGACTTGGCTCGATCGCGCAGATATACGTGGAATACTTGTATTTATCATCACTACCTCCGGAGCATTGCTAGTGTACGATGGTAACAACATAAAAATGATGACGATGTTGGTTGACGGATTGTCGAACCAGACAAGTTTAATCGACTGATGATCTACCTACTTTCACCGAACAAGGTAGGGTGGTTTGGACACGTTTTTTGCACGCATGCTCAGCTGTCACCTCACCATGCTCACTTTACACGCTGTCGACTGGACGCGAGTTGAGCTTCAGGGTGAAGGCACTGACGTCGAATTTGGTCATGGTTGGATGCTCTCGGCTTCCAAGCGGGACGTGGAAGGACGACGAACACGAGTAGTTGAAAGTGCTCCTGGGTATGACAAAAACGCACCTAGTGGCGGTGGTGAAGCGATACCCAAAAAGGTCCACACTTCGGATGTGGTCTTATTGAACAATCGAGGTGCATTCCCAAGTAGTGATTAGAAGTAAGATGGTGTCGCGATAAAAATACGTGGTGACATTGCAAAACACAGACATAAGTCGGTAGGAGTATTCACTGCGTAACATTCCGTTACCAAAACAAAGGTTTTGGCATGCCGATTTGATGACAAACAACGAGGACGATCGAGATTACAGAGACGTAAGTCAGAATATTGTTACAGCTGTGTGTAAATATGTCACCTTATTGTGACATCAGAGTTGAAACACGCCATATGACACAACGCGTAGGTGTTGGTAGATAAGGCATTAATGGTGACGATGTGGAGCGACATTAACCGTTAAGATCCAACCGGATCCACGTGTTGAATCTCATCAAAACGGCCGGATTGAGATTTTGGAGAACGATTAGGATTGTCAACCAAAGCCTTTGGTTCAAAAACCTGTCCGCAAGGCAGCCGGTTTGACACTGGACTACAAGGAGTCCGTTTTAAGGAATAAGGAGCCACCCTCATTCCAACCCCCAACCTGGAGGACCAGGAGGCTGAGTTTGTCTAGCCTCTAACCATTGACCAATCTGGTATGAGTGGCTCTGAAGGTGCAAAAATGCACCACCCGGTATAGCTCAATGGATCACTGAGGCACACAAACCATCGCACCACGGTAAGGTCCAGCCTCATTGCGATGGCGTGATGTCATTGATGTATAGCAAAAGGGGCCGAGCACGCTCTCTTGAATGACTCCACTGGCGATTGAGTGTGGGGAAGAGCGATAATCATCTAAAGTGACTACCTGATGACGATCACTCAGGTATGACGATAGCCAACCTAGTAATGGGTCCCGGATCCCAGTTCCCAAACTTTTGTAACAGTCGCTTGTGCGGTACTCGGTCGAACGCTTGGTGTATGTCAAGAAACAAGATTACTACTGCATAACCGGAATCGATTGATTCTGAAATGTGATTAAGGTAATGCAGTTGACAGGTGGTGCACGATCGCTAATTGATAACACCATGTTGCGAATTGTTGGTCAGGCCAACAGAATCAACAAAGTTCATCATCTCGATTCTGACCAACTTTTCAAATAACCGAGCGATTATCGGAGTGTGCTAGATTGGTCGGTAGTTATCAATCGTTTGTTTGGGACCTCCTTTATGCCGAGGCATAATAAATGACGTTTTCCATTGGTCTGGAGTGGCCAGATTCCAGCGATAGAGTGAACATGCTCATCAGTAGCAATGATATATCA